TGCTTGCTGCTGCTGCTTGCTGCTGCTGCTGCTGCTGCTGCTGCCTGCCGACTGTCGACTGCTACTCTCAGTCTGCCGGGCGGCCTCGTGCGCGCTTGGTTTCCATCCGACGAATCCGCGCGCCACGAAACTACCCGCGCTTCGTTCTCGAGGCGGAACGGTCGAGCGAACGATTACGAACGAACGAGCGAGCTAGACGAGAGCGAAGCAAGCGAGCGAGGCGAGCGTGCGAGCGAACGACCGACCGACTGAACCAACGAGTCAGGCCGTCCGTCGTCGTTGCTCCGCCGCCGAAAGCATCGGCTCGGAAATCGAGCGGCGCTCGTCACTCCTCGCCGGACGATCGACGAGGATCCGTGAGTGAGGCAGGTCGAGGAGGAGCTGCTGGCTCGCGTTCGCCGCGTGAATCGTTGACGGGTGTGAGCCCGCGCGAGCCTCTCTTCCGTTTCTCGCGCCTCCACCATTTTTTTCTTCCTTTTTCTGACTTTTTTTTTTGGAATCGTGCCTCTGTGCCCCCCGCCTGCTGCTGCCTTTGTCGTGTTCACACGTGTCTCGACGTTCACGAGTAAAACTACGAGAGAGAGAGAGAGAGAGAGAGAGAGGGAGATTACCCGCGAGGAAGAGAATAAGAACCGCGAGAAGAACGGACGGAATGGAACGATTATGACGGTACGCGGGTGGTGTAACGTGGTGACGTGTGTCGCTCGATCATGATACGATCGTTGGTCAGCTGGCCGGAAGACGCGTGACTTTTGAGAGAAAAGCGAAAATTTGTAAGAAAGAGACGTAGGAAACTCGAGAAAGTACGCCGCTGGTGGTGCACGGTGACAGGACAGGACACGGCGCACACACCGTTCTTGCCTGGGGACCGCTCTCCGGAACGAAACGGAACGGAAACACGTCACTCTTCTACAGGTGTTTCGAATCGATTCCTCGGCCTCCACCAGACGCCGCTTCTTCTCTCCCCCTGTTTCACCGTGCTTCGTCTCCTCGTGGATGGTGTGATGTTCAGTGAGTTTCCTTCGCCGGACACGTGATCCGCTAGTCTGGACAGGGCCTGTCTCTCGCTTCTCGTCGCGTGCCTCTTTCGGCAGAGCAGTTTCTCTCTCGAAGCTCGCGCGTTCACCGGACGTGAAATTTCACCGGGTACAGAGGAGCATTCGACGCGCCTCGTTTAATATTTCTCGTACCTGAGAACGACAAGCGGACATATTCCATTCTCGCTCTCCGTAGACCACAGTGTTTTCCGTAAGAATCTTTTCTCGGATAGAATCGATAGATACTTTGACACAGTGTTATCGTTTTGAGAAAAAAAAAACACCCAACACGCGAGATCGATTTCGTCGTCTGTTCGTCGTTTCGACAAAGAAACGGAGAGAGAGAGGGAGGTGAATTTTGCAAGTTGGAGGAAAATCGTGCAGGAAGGATTTCTCGATGATTGTCGAGAGGCGACGAACGGTGAGGCGCGTCGCGGCGACGTCCGCGTAAGAGACTTTCTCGCGGAAATGCGAGAGTTGATATTGTTGTTCGCGTGCGATCGCGTGGCCCGGCCTGTGCGCGTCCGTAGAGTCGCGTGACACCGATTCG